AACTAAGGAGAACATATTATGGCTTTTGTTACCGGTTTCGCAATAGCACCTGGAGGCCAGTGTCCTGCTGTGCCAGGTGCTGCACTATACTCGTGCCATTTTGTTTTTCAGTCGCTTTCATTCAAAAGGACCAGGGATCAAGCCATATTTTCTCTCTCCTCCTAGCAAGTAACCAGGATCCCAATTAAAACTAGACTGGGATAGCCATAATATGTTTTCATATAAGACTCCACGTTGGGGCTTCTAATTGGCCTAGAAACTGCTGAATTTGGTTTCCCTTTTCTGTGCTCCCGAGCAGCTGCTTCTAGGCTTTTATATTCAGGACAAAGATTGTCTCTCATCTGTGTGTGTGCAGTGGACCCTGATCCCAAGTGGAGTATTTGGAAGCTCTTTCTAAATGAATATTTACTATTGCTGCTTCCACCTCCTGACAGAGCACAACTGAGCTTGGGAGAGGATTTTTGTATTTGATGGGAAGAGAATGGGAATTGATGGATTAAGCAGTGGCTGGATTAATGCAAATGAGTGATGCATATTCATAAAATTCACATTGGATCAGTACATCATTTGCAAAAAGCATCTCAGCCTGTGGCTTTTAGGTAGTGATAACAGCTTTGTGGGTTTTAGCTCCTCCTGTTCCTTCAGGTCGCGCACATCCATCATGAGCATCGTTAGTTGCTCCACAGTTCTCCCCAAGCTTGACTCTTTGTCAATGAATAAATACTGCAGAGGGAATGCTTCTCCCTTGGAATCTTGTCGGCTATAGTGTGTTGTCAATAAAGATCAGGGCTGGCTGAAGGACTCTTTTGCAGCCATCTGCTTGGAAAAAACAGTCTTACACCTCTCTAATTGTAATCACATGGATTTGTTTGGTAATGGAATGGCAGAGGCTGAAAACAACAGTGAGCTTGGTTTATGAGGTTTTGTCTTCTTGCTCTGCTGAGTTCACATTTGACAGATGGAATAGTGATGGGGTGGGAGAGAGAATACTTTTTATTGGACCAACCTCTGTTGGTGAAGGAGACAACATGCTGAGTGACACAGAGCTCTTCTTCCTCAGGTGAGCCGTTGATGTGTGTTGTCTGAGAGTGAAAACTTCCCTATTTTATCCCACTCCAGCCTGGTCTTTCCCAGCCTGTCCTTTATTATTAGCAATTGTGAAGGGAGCACTGTTATGCTAGGCACTGCACAAACACATGGGGCTTATCCGCACAAGAAATTTGTTGCACAGGTGTACATGAAGGTGAAAATTTAAACCTATTTTAGTTAAACTGGATTAGCCCCTGTGTAAAAATGCTCTTATTTTGGTTTGAATGGCTAGTCTCAGTTTAACTTAAACCTGTTCCAATTTGACTTTTCTTTAAGTTGCCAGAGAACAAGTTTAAACTAAACCAAAGTAGGCCACTTTTCATTCACAATTAAACTGATGAACGTTTGTGTGTAGACAAAGCTATGAGAGACATTCCTTTCCCCAGAGAGCTTATACTTTCAATAGACAACACAGACAAAGGGTGGGAAACAGGAAGGAAGATTGCAGGTCTGGGAAGAAAACTCAGGTCTCCTAACTGAATTCTCAAGCCAGTGTCTTATCAACCATGCTGCTCCATTATTCTCTTCTTGAATGCATAGGGTGAGATGGTTGACTTGTGTCAATTGGTATTGTTTGTACTAGCTGAAAATCTGGCCCCAAGTTTTACAGTAGAGGAGATCTGCTGTTATGTGGTACGTTATGTGCCTAGCTTCAGAGCTGAGAAGCCAATTGGGCATTGGCTCCATAACTAATGTGATCACCTTTCTCTACTGGTTCGCTTTCATTTTGTTCCTCACTAGCTGGGTGGTAGAGATTAATTGAAATGCAGCATTGTTCAAGCAAATCCATTTAGTTTGGATTCACCACTGATATTTTCATCCCTTCAACTGGTAGTTTTATGGCTCTGATTTAAAAGCAAAATTCACTTCTCTGCAGATGAAAATGCTATTTCCACTTGCTCCCTTTAGGATAGGTTGTTTCTTTTTTAATAGCTCTTTCTGATGGAGAGAAGATTACATGCATGAAACCCATAAGAAGCATCATGCTCCTTGCAAGAACCCTCATACCAGAGACGGACAGAACTCTTGCTCTGAAAATCCAGGATATTTGAGAATAAATACCCCCCAAGGTCATGCACAGTGTGTGGAGCTGGGTGGATTATTTGTTGTAGCTGTTGTATGCAAGGGATTTAGTCCGATGTTTCTGCTCTAAGTTATCCATAAGCAGGCTTTGATCTTTATACACCTATTCATTGTATGCAATCACTTGACCAGCAGTGAATATGTTTCTGCTAGTAGGTTGTCTAGCAGTGTTTTGTGCAGGTATGTGTGCTTTGCTTTTCCTAAGCTGTTAGTGTGTGGCCTAGGGATGTTAAAATGCATTTAATTTTGTAAATATGTAACTGCTGTAAATTTCCTGCATGTGCCAACCTGCCTCCCCCTTGTGCTGCTGCCTCTGTATCAGACGCAACAGAGCCAGTGCTTGGGGGGAGCTGGCTCCCTGCAAGGACTGGCTCCCATCTGCTCCCTTCTGCTGCCTCTGTATCAGAGGCAGCGGGGGAAGGGGTGGTGTGTAACCATTAGGATTAACCGATGAGCCCATGCAGTTCATGGAGGACTCCATTGTAGCACCTGTTTACACCCCCTTGAGCATTCACATGGTATCAGGGGCCACATCCCTACCTGTCCCACTCCACCTGAGGGGACATTAAGGGCAACCACTGCTTTACATATACTGACCTGGAAGACCCAAGGTTGCTGGAAGTAGGTAACATGAACAGGAATGTTCTTTCCCCTTGTTAATTTCTGCTCCATTAATGAAGTAAGTTTTTAATATACCTGCTTTTATATTTCACAGATTTTTCTTTGTGTTGTTTGTTACTGAATACAATTCTGTTACTTAGAAAATAAAGTCGTCTTTATTACTTTCCAATGTTCGCTGTGATGTGCCTGGCAGTTCTGAAAGCACTCACTTATCTGTTATTGTCCAATGTGCCACAACTCACAGGATCAGTGACACATGCAGTATAATCACCAGTGCACAGCAAGTACTGGAAAATTACCAGGTGCACTGACCATGTTATAGTCAGATAAATACACCAAGCACCACACAGTTCCTAACAGGTCACAGAATAGCAGGGCCAGGTAGACCAGTAGTTTTCAAACTACGTGTCATGACCCAGTATTGGGTCATGGAATATCAGGCTCTGGCTCTCATTGCTTGAGAGAGATCAGGGGGATCAGGTGACCAGTGAGGGTGATAAGGCAGCTACCTGCCTGTCCTGACACCACAGACTGCACTGTGTCCCAGAAGCAGCCAGCAACTGGCCCACTCCTAGGTGAGGGGTGAGAGTGTACAGGGCTCCATGCACTGCTGCTGCCCTGAGCACTAACTCCACACTCCCATTGGCTGGGGACCGGCTGCTGGCTTCTTCTGGGGCACAGCATGGTCTGAGGTGCCAAGAGAAGCAGAAAGCTTCCTTAGCAACCCCTCTGCACCACTGACTGGGAGTCACTCCAGGTAAGATCCTCCTGCTACCACCCCAACTTCCCCCAAAGCTGGAGCCCCCTCCTATAGCCCAAAGTGCTCATCCTCAGCTCCACTCTGGAGTCCACACTCTAGTCAAATTGTGTTGGGTTGCAGGCATCAATAATTTTTTTTCAACTGGGTCATAAGGAAAAAAGTTTGAAAGCCACCAAGGTAGAACACAGTTTCCCTGCAACACATTACTGCGGTTTACAGTTCAAGTGCTCTTTCAAAAACTTCCTGAGCTCTATAGCCTTTATGTCTAGCTATTCAAATTTAGCAGACTTCCAATTGCCCTCCACCCCAGTGGCAGCTTTCTCCCTCCCCACACCCCCATTTGCTTCACAGATGTTATGCAAGACACAGCAGGCAGCTATAACAACTGGGATTTTTTTTTCCACTGAGATTCAACCTTGTGAGTAAACAATGCCAGTGTCTTTCATTCTACCAAAAGTTCATTCAATTTTCATTTCTCATCAGCTGAGCACATAGTTAAATCTATTCTTCGTGCTGTCAAGGTGGCCCAAGCGATTTTTTTTGCCTCACTATGCATTATCAGAATTTCCAAAAAACAGTGCACTGGATAGTGGCGGATGACACAATGGGACACTTACTCCTAATGCACAGCGCTGTGTGTTGATGTGATTACTCCTGATGAGTCACTGCCTCAGTGTTGTGTATAGCCAAGCATGCATGCATGTGCAGAAGTGATGCACTAACTATAGTGGCTTCACGCCAACATTACTTGTATCAACCAGAATTTGCAGAGTAAACCTGGTCTTTCTGATGATAATCTATAATCGATGAAGGGCTGTGAGAGGTTCATTATATACATACTTTCTTGCCTCAGGAGTCTCAATGCAAATAAAGTATCAGGTGGGCAGAAAGCAGCTTCCTGCTTCTCTGAAGGCTGTTCTTTCCTCACACTGTGTGTTAATAATGGGGATTAGATAGGTGTCATCATCCTCTCACCCTGTGCACAGAAGTACCACACAACAGCAGAAGTATGTTTGCACATAAGCAATTATAGAACAGCAGAACCCTGCAATTTTATACCTCCAAAATTGCTGAGCTGAGTTACTTAAGTCTTGAATTAATTGTGACATTGGTGCCAGGATTGGCTGTTACTTTAACAGCAGAGATGCAATACAATCAATGCAAAGTACTGTGAGAGAAGTCTTCCAGAGGCTCTCTCTTGGTCAGAATTGTACTCTGCATTTGACTTCCAAGAGTCTGGCTTTTTGCTGCACAGCTTGGGCTCCATGGTAGTCATATATTCCCATTGACCAGTTCCAGGGAAAAGACATAATTGTTAGTCGGGTATATTTGTTGATGTAGAAAATGGATTCTAAGTCACACAGAGAGGCTGCTCAGTCTGAATAGTAAAGAGCTGGCCTATGTTGTAATTGTTGTAACCTTTCCTGTTTTTTCCCCTCCTCTTCAGGGCCTGAAGCCAATGGATCATAATGGTTTGGCTGATCCATATGTCAAATTGCACTTACTCCCAGGCGCTAGTAAGGTGAGTTGTAGTTTAAATTCAACCTAAAATCTGTGTTTTGTACATAGCTCAGCGTTGCTCTTCTGTCTGCCTTATGAAGTTATGCCATATGCTGACATGTGTATAGCAATATACCATGCTGCTGTTTTGGGTTGGGGATCATTTTCTAGTTAAAATTGACTATGTAAAACAATGTTGTATTTTAGAGGCAGATTTTCGGCAAGCCTCATTTTAACATGCATGCATAGTCTGCAAGTACATCCATGTTCTAGTAGTTATTTAGCAATGACAACGGACTTGGTGCTGTACAGTACAACAAAAGAGAGAGTCTCCAAAGAGAGAAGGGTGAGGTAGCACACTGATGAGTGACAGTGCAAGCAATGGTATCAGTACAAAGACGTAGGTGAAAGAGTGCACTGGTTAAATTGCATATGCTCAAAATGTACATAACAAATGAAAAAGTGTCAGTCTTAGTGAGCATCTATGTCAGAAACACATCAGGTGATGTCCTGGACTCACTCAAGTCAAGCTACCCAGTCAAATCCCTCCTCCTTTCCAAAAGCCAGAGAGGCCTTAGCTGACTGAGCAAGAGAATTTTTACCATTGACTTTAACAGAACCAGGATTTTCATCTTGGGGCTTATTACAATATCCATCAAAAATTAGAGAGCTCAGATTTGACATTAGGGTGTCTCTCCTAAATGCTTACTGGGCCTAAAGTCTCTCCAATTAAAGAAAGAATAAAGCACAAGCAACAAGCTATGGTCAGGGCAGGAGTCTGGCTGCACAAAAATGTAGTGTGATCTGGAGTTCGTGCCTTATCGGGGTAGTAGATGGAGGTGGTTGAAACAATTTTCAGAAAATCAGAAAATGTCATTTTGACACAACCAATTTTTTTTCAATATTCTCTAAATTTCAACAAAATTTGCTTAAGAAAAAATTGGAAAATTTTCACAAGTCTCAATGGCCTACGTTGGTGTTTTCAGAACGAAAAGTTTTTTTTAATTCACTTCCTTTAATAACAGGGTCCAAGACATGCTGGGCTTTAAAGATGATCCCTAATACATTGAATTTCACCTAAGGCTGAGAAAGTCACCAGCGAGATGCATAGATGTTATCCTCTGTGTAGTGACCCACTCCAAGGAGTGGTTGATCACTGTCCGTGACTATCCTGTCTCCAGTGATGGACGTGCTCACAAGCTTCGTGGGACCAGTAAGAGACTTGTTGAAAATGAGCTGCTGAATGACAGTAGAGCAGGCTGCCAGGGAAGTCACTAATACAGATGCTTATGTCCATCATAGCTCACGTGGATTAATGTCAGTTTTGCTGATTTAAAAAAAAAATGAAGTTCTGAAAAGCTAGCAGTGTTTCCAGTGGGAAGAGCAGACCCTTACACAGAGGATCCCAGTCTTCGGGGCTTTCTAAATGAGAGAGGCCAGAAGGGACCATTATGATCATCTTACTGGACCTCCTACTTAACACAAGCCAGGGAACTACCAGCTCTATGATTCCTGCAGAGGAGAGGGCTAGAGAAATGAGGAGAGGAGATAACCACTGCCCATATGGTCTCACTTGTTTAGTTGGTATAACAGAGGCCAGTGAATGTTTGAAAACTGCACAGTTCTGTTTGTCCCTTCTGTATTCCTGACCAGGATTGTGGAATAACCCCTTAGACTCCCCTTTCTTCCCCTCCTGCACCATGGAAAATCCTTCCCTTAGTGAGCCTGGTGCCAGCTAAGGCAGGACTGTGGGAAGTTAGGACTTTGGGAGGTTTGGGAGCCTTGCTGGGGCTCTTGTACATTTCAAAGGAGGAATGCGGAACTCCGCCTACAACCCAGGCCAGCGGGAAGTCCCGCTGACTCTGGGCTGCATGCAGAGTGCCTGCTTTGAAATGCACAAGAGTCCCGCATTGGGGTTTCAAAGTGGCAGTGCTGCACAGTTGTGTGGTGTTGCCACTTTGAAGTACTCCTTCTCTGCTGCACCTTATACAGTACTTATACAGAAGTACTGTATAAGGTGCAGCAGTACTGTGCACTTACCATATGTAGGGCCTTTCATTTTCACATCTCAAAGTGCTTTGCAAAAATGGTTAAGCTTTGTTATGGCTATTTACATGCTGTGTAGTTGAAGCACACCGATGTTTTGGACAGTTCAGCTCTAAAGCTCTGAGAGTTAGGCCTCAACACCCTTCAGTGGGATGTGGGCAATTAACTTCCTCAAGTGTCTCTTAAAATCCAGCCCCAGTGACTGGCTCAAAATCACCCAAGAAGTCAGTGTGGGAGAGCCAAGAATAGAACCAGAATCCTTGGCTTTAAGTTATGTCGTCTAAGCACTGGGTCATATTGGGAACAAGTAGGAGGTGCTTCCCTGCCTCTCTTGGAGGGAATTTATTACACCCTTACAACCCTTCTTCCTTACGTGCCGTCTGGTACAGACAGTTTAAGGAAGAGCTAGTGCGGGAAAGGAGGATTGCACTCCAGCAATGGAGTGTTTCTTAACCATCTGCTAGAGGGTAGTAGAGTACCTTCCTGGCACATCACCTACTTGGAGACGAGACAAACTTCTGCTGGGGAGGGGTCCCTTAGGCCTTTTCTGTGTCTGAAAACTGGGATCCTGTTGGGAAAATATTCTGAAAATAAGGGTCTGCAGTGCATTAAGCTATTGTCTCCAGAGCACATTAAAATGGTGATGGAGGAGAAGCTGTTTTGATCAGAAGGCTGCAGCACATCTCTTGGGTAGCACCACTGGCTTTGCAGCTCCATTTACTTCTCCTCCTTTTCTGTCTTAGACCCACCTCTTAATACCTTCCCACCACCATATCTGCTTCTCTTTCACAATCTGCCCAGAATCTTCCCCCCAACTCATGCACACACTTGGTCCCTCCATCCACTGAGCTAACTTTTCAGCCTTTGTTTAATTTGCTGGGCCTAATTTTCATGTGTGGCTACCTAGGTCTGGCATCTGGATGTAGGCTGTCCACTAGCAGTTGGCTGAGCATCACATTTAGATACAGCGTGGGAATCTATATGTAGGTATTTCAGTAGCAATAGGTTGCAAAGAGCATTTAGGTGTGTCAGTACCAGTCCTCAGTTCTGAGGACTGGCTTCAGTGCCTAGGTGTGAGATTTGGGTGCCCAGGAATGTACCCTTCTTTATAACTGTGTTTCTGTGCTTGAGGGAGAATTGCTACAAGAGATGCTGGGCAGAATTTAAACTTCTGTATTTATATTTTGGAGGCAGGAGAAGCAGGTAGAAAAAGTGACCCAAATAGGAACCAGAAGATGGTGGGAAAGGGAAGTTGAGCCACTTGCGTTACCCTCACCCAACCATCCCTGGAATGTCAAAGCTAGATTGTTCCTGGGCAGCCAGACACTGTAGTGGTCACTGCTGTGGGCTGGCTTTCTGCCCTCCCCCTTTTCCCCTCCATAAAGAAAACCTCTTCAGAATCATTTGTACAACTGCAATGGGAGGTGAACTGGAAACCCAGGGCTTGAACCAAAAAAACGGGATTAGTCATGGGCTAGAGTTTAACTGCAGGGCACGTTTTAGCTCCTGAGTGATGAGTGATGACTGTCAGATTTCCTGTGTCTTGCTGATCTTGGTTTCCTTGATGAATTAATAATGTGTTGGCTCACAGCAGAGCAGGGGATGATGAGGGCACTGTGGAATGACAGAACTGATTCTCCAGGACTGGGCTGATACTTAGCACACTGTCTCTGTCTTTGCCATCCTGCCCCGGGTTTCCTAGTTACTGTCTTTGCAGCCTTTTTAGTGGAGGAAGAAATGCTGTCATTCACTGTTTAAGTTTCATTCTGCTTCATGGGACTAGTAATGTGTCAGTCACCATCTGATATTCAAAAAGCATCTCCCTTGTGCTTGAGCCTGGGAAAGGATCACTGGAAAGCCAGCTCATTAAAAAGAGATGCCACCTTTGGCGGCTTCTGTCCCATCCTGCGTGGTTTTTCTTTCCTTTTCTCCTCTCTTCCGTCCTGCAGTTGGAGGATGGTGAATGTAAATGACTCCAGTGCAGCAGCGGCTCAAAATGGGAGCCATGCAGAGCCACACTGGGGATACAAAAGAGCTGGCTTGTTGTGTATGATGCTGGCTCATCTTTGACTGTGTGGGCTGGTTGTTAACTTGCATTCAAAGAAGCTTCACCAATGCATGGAAAAAATCTCCTGATGTTACTCTGCCATCCAAGCAGCTGTGCAGTGTAGTGGGGTTATGGCAGTCAGAGGAGTGGTTTGTGCAGTGGAAAATGGGAAAAGTGGAGCCAGGCCATTGTGTCTAGCATGCAAAGACAACTTCTCTGTTTCATTACATGAAGTGTCTGAGACAACTTGCTCTAGCAGATCAGGCCTCCTGAGGCCAGCCGGCCAGCTAGCTGAGAGATCACGAAGTGTCAGAGGTGCCCTAGAAGGTGCCTGACTATAACTGGGGATGGTTGTGACAGACCAGGCCAGGTCTGGGCACAGCTGAGGGTGTCCGCTCAGAGCGAATCCTTCAAATTTGGGGCTCCTTACAGCCCCCGAACTGGAGACCTTTCCAAACAGGCTACAAACCAGTTCCACAGAGCGCTTCAGCTGCCTGCCTGAAGCCTCATGAGCCAAACCCCTCCGACATCCCAGCAATATCCGTGCCCCAGATGGCCCCGGGCCTCATAAACAGGTGAGGGGGTTTTAGAGCCCAATCTCACCTTCCCCGAACAAGTTCTGTCCGGTTCTAAGAAACCAGCCACAGATCCCAGGTCAATTTACACTCTGGATCTTACCCACAAATCATGCTAAACCAATTTACAATCTAAAGGTTTATTACTACAAGAAAGAAAAGCATGAGAGTAAGGTTGCTAAAGTATCATACATTACATGCATCGAATTTCCCAGTTCTCAATGCAGGCTTGCAGCAAAGATGTTATAACTGCTGGCTTAAAAGTCCTTGGTGTGCATCCTATGTCAGGATGGGTCCACAGTTCTTCCCGGCTCCTGGTTCCCTGAGAGGCTGCATATGGGGTCAGAAGCAGAT